TTCTGGGCCAAATTTATATATATTTTTAACTGTTTTTTAATATTTGTATTCTATGTTCTTATTTTGGCTGTACACCGCCCTGAGTCCTCAGGGAGAAGGGCGGTATATAAATTGGAAATTAAATTAAATTAAATTAAATTAAATTAAATTAAATCTTCCCTACCAGGTTTCAAATTGACTCTGCTTGCTGCAAAATGTGATCCCACTACAGGACGCTGCAAATATAAGTGCAAGCAGTTGTCAAGGACCTAGATCAGGTCTGTGAAACTGGTGGTCCACGGGCTGGATATGTCATGTGCAGGCCGCACCCACCCTGGCTCTGCAAAGGCAAAAAGCATCACGATACATCACGAACCGGCCTGTAACACAATCGAGTTTAACACCCTAGACTAGTGATGGTGAACCTTTTAGTCACCGAGTGCCCAAACTATGCATGCGTGCATGCCCAAACTGAAATGTGCGCGCATGTATGCGCACATGGCAGACATGCCCACAGACATGCGTGGCCGTGTGCATGCATGGATATGTGTGCATGCACAGCAGAGACCCGAAGAGCAGCTGGCCGGCGGGAGGTGGGGCATCCCAACACCGGCAATGTACGCATGTGTGGACATGTGTGCATGCATGCACAGACATGTGCAAATGTGTGCATCCACAGACATGCGTGCATGCGCAGCAGAGACCCAAAGACCAGCTGGCCAGCGGGAGGTGGGGCATCCCAAAATGGTAGCGAGGCAAGAGTTAAGATCTTTTTCTTTCATGAGCTTGTTTTGTCATTTGCAGGGAAACAGAAGCTCACGAAAGAAATGCCATGGAGATCTGACCGGCAGTGATGGCGCGCGTGCCAACAGGAAGGGCTCTGAGTGTCACCTCTGGCATATGTGCCATAGGTTCACTATCATGGCCCTAGATCATGTTCATGTGATTGCGGGGTGCTAAGACAGTAGAAACTTTGAGGATAGGTTCTCATTTGTTCAGTGCTACTGTAACACTAGGTCATTACCTGAGGAATACTTGAACACATGCTCTTAATATTCATACTATTTCATTTTTTTCCTATAACTTTTTGGTAATTTATATTTAGAAGAAAATAGAATGCTGTTGCTGTATGTTGGTGCTTCTCCATCCTGCTTTCATATTGTCCAACTTTTCAACTTATTCCAAATGTTAGTGCAGTTGTGTATCAGATTTATCTTTCAGTAAATTGCTATTAACTTCTATATGATTCAAGTTTTTAATTGTAAGGATTCCTGTGGAAAATGCTCTAAAGACAAGTTATTTTAGTCATAATAAAAAATGAGGTGTAAGTTGTATCAAATTCTTTCAGAATACATGATCTTACTTTAAAATAATGTTATGGGACAGGTAACCTTAACCTTTAATAAGGATATTTTTTTGTTACTGTAACTTCATGACATTTAAAAGTAATTTAATGATTTAAATTAAGTTTGCTTATTAACTTCAAATCCTAACATATTTGCAGAATGATCACCATTGCTTTCTTGGATTACAGTTAAGGGAGCCTGCAGCAAACCAAGTACAGGTAGTCCTCAACTTACAACACTTTATTTAGTGACCAAAGTTACAATGGCACTGAAAAAAGTGACTTATGACCATTTTTCATTTACAACCGTTGCAGCATCCCCATGGTTATGTGATCAAAATTTGGATGGTTGGCAACTGACTCGTATTTATGACAGTTATAGTGTCCTGGGAACATGTCATCACCTTTTGAAATCTTCCTATAAGCAAAGTCAATGGGGAAGCCAGATTTTCTTAGCTTAATAACTACAGTGGTTTACTTAACAATGTGGCAAGAAAGGTCATAAAATGGGGCAAAATTTACTTAATAAATGTTTCACTTAGCAACAGAAATTTTGGGCTCAATTGTAGTTGTAAGTAGAGGACTACCTGTATTTTACTGAACTACCCTGATAATTAAGACCACATTTCTATTCAAATTATGCTGTTATATTCTATTTACTCTCCACCATTGAAATGAAGCAAGGAAAATCTAACAGTTAAGCTGAAGTTGCTTAATTCAGTCAGATTTAAAAAAATCTACAAGACATTAATATACAACTAAAAATACATATTATAAAATTATTCCTCTTAGACGTAATGTTTTTAATACACAATAACTGTATTTTAAAATATTGTAAATTTGCATGTAAAGGGTATTATATGTCAAAGCAACTAGACACACAGGACCAGTTTTTTCCCTTGTGCTATCACCCTGAACACCTAATCCTCATAGTACTCTCTTATGTCTAAGTATATTAACCCATATAGTATGGTTGTAGTATTATTATCCTTCTCATCTTCTCTACTACCCCATTACTTATACCATTATTATGATTATTCATTGCTTTGTATGTACACTCAGAGCTTCTGCACTAGAGACAAATTCCTGTGTACCTCACTTGCCCCCCCCAAAATCTGATTCCAATATCAAAGAAAAGCTACTCATGCATAGTATTTCTTATTATGCTGAAATCAAATCACATCAAATCTCTATGCAATAAATTATAAAGCTAATCTAGAAATTTGTGTGCCATTACCGCTTATAATTCTCATTGTAGCAGAAGCAATACACAAGAATGAACCAAGTGTTTGTTATACAAGACAGCACCATCTCTTTGCTGGTAGAAATCAAATAGCATCACACACACTGTACCACAAATTGTAGAAAGTGCGTACCTGATCAAGGAGACAAATCAAAAGAGAAATTTCCAATTTACCTCACATGTAATATGTAATAAAACATGTTTAAAACTTTAGGAAAAATACACTATCTGAAAAGAGAAACCTTTTCAAATCGTTCTTCATTGATATGAATATAATTTCAAACTCCTATTGGAACAAATAAATATTAACTAATCACCATATGAAGAGCAAATCTGTATTCTATTATATACTCCACATAAACTCTGGAATGCTTTTGTTTCAATGTATTAAGTATGCTATTTTTTCACACTTTAAATGTGAAAATAGGATCTAAATCCTCCTATATGATTCATGCTTATTATAACAATGAAGACAAAGTTGTTTTTTTTTAATTTGATTTATATGCTGCCCTTCTCCGAAGACTCAGGGCGGCTTACAATGCGTTAAGCAATAGTAGTTCAACATTATAAATTAGCGCTAAATACATTAGGATTATTACTAACTTGGGACCAGTTTTCTTCCCTCAGCCAACCTACCACACAGAGATGCTTCTATGGGGAAAACTGGCGAAAGCACTATACATGTCACAGTGGACCAATAAGGAATCAAGACAGAAGTTGCATCCAATTGAAGCTCTGTTTGGCAACTTTCAATAATGTACAAAGCGACAGGAATTGTATTGCAATGTGATGACTGCTGTCTTGACCTTTTTGATTCCACCACTAATTTATAGGTCAACCTGAGTTCCTGAAAATAGAGGAAGCTGTAATATAATAAATACTTTTAAGTATTTTTACATCAATACAAAAGTTGATTACGTTGTATCCATTTTGCTGATGAAAAGACGTTTCAGATTACCTTAACACAAAGCAACTAATTGTTTCCTTGCATCAGAAATTGCATCTTTCTGAATAAGCTTTTTCTTTCTTTGACAAGTAAAATACCTTTACTGATAAGAGTAGTGTACTTGTTTAGAAATAAAGAATTTTCAGGTTACAAAATATTTCAAGTAAATTATCTGAGGAAAACTCATTAGAATACCACAAAAAGCAGTTAATGACAAAGAAACCAACCATATTTTATACAGAAAGTTGCATGAGCAAAACTATGTGGTCAGATAACGTCTAGTTCAATATGTCATGAAAACTCATAAAACAGGGCTGAGTAAACTATGTTTAAGTTAACCATGGATAATTATTTGAAAAGACAGCTAAAGTATACTAATGATCTGACAGGATAAAGCATCATACTTGTCTAATAGGCATCATATATATGCTATGTTTGGGTTTATGCCAACAGAGTACAACTGTACTACAAAAGTTGTAATAACCAGATTTCTACTACAGATTTATACAAAAATACCAAAAACCAATTAAGTACAATAGCTTAAACCACTCAACAACAGAATGAGAATTCTCAAAAAACAATTCTGTATAATTTATGAACCCACAAACCTTTTTAACAACGCTGTCACACTGTGTTGTAAACCTTACCTTATGGTAAGGCAGTAAGCAATCTTTACAAAAAAAGCATATTGCTGGCATTCAACCAAGAATGAGCATACAGTACAAGCACTATGAAGTCAAAGTGGATGAAAAAGTAGCAGACACCTGAGACACAGAATTAACATTGTGCCTCTCTCTTTTTTAAAAAATCCCAATTTCACTGGCAGGTCACCTCCAAATAATTTCTCTACTTCCATCTGCACTAATAAACGACTGTAAAAACATCAGCTCACTCTGCCCTTGCTTTAGAAAATAAACTGCACCATCACATTAAAGAAACTGAGGCAGACACAGGATGCAATGAGGTACTGGAAGCTAAAACCAGAATCGGTCTCAGCTGATGACACAAAGCAACTTATATACTGGGTTAATAGGGAAAAGAAAAGGGACTAGTGTTTTTCATGTAAAAACAAGCTGGAAAGTAAACACCCTTCCAACAGGCCTAGGGGAGAATAGTTCTTTTCAGCAGGCATTATAGCCGGATCACCTTGACGTCTTCTCAAAAGCCAAGCAAACCCTCATCTTCGCTGCTAAGCGTCCGGGAAAACCCCTCACTGACAGCGGCAGCCCCAAAGGAACATCCAAACCACAATACGAGATAAAACTCATCCGAGGCCGATCTACACCAGGAAAGCGATGCGGCGCTCTGATTGGGAACAAGAAAGTGGGCCTAGACCGTCCGAGGATAGGAGATTGGGTGAAAGAAGTGTTCAGAAAGCAGAAGAGCTTCAGAAAGAGAGGAAAATAAAGCACAAACGCCTCCACCTCGGGCCCTACCAGCCCTCCTCTCTGTTCCCCAATCCGCCCCCTTCGACGCCGAATTTTTACCTCAGCTAACATCATTACTCGCGGTGGAAGCCTCCGGCTCTAGCTCCGCAGCATGGTGCGTCTGCCCCAACCGCAGCCCAACGCACACCGCTAAGGAAGGGATCCCGGTAGGTCTCAGCCTCTTCAGCGATCCCTCCGTAACGCCAAACCCATTCCAACTACCGCCGCTGCCGCCGCCCGCTCAAGAGGGGCGGCCATCTTAGCTACGTGAGACGCCGCCGCCGCCGCCGCCGCCGCTCTCTGTGGCGCAGCCGCCCAATGGGGCAGTAAGACGCGGGGCAGGCCTGTCTCTCGTTTGGCTGGCCTCCCTGAGGTTGGCGCGGTTTGCTTTCGCGCTGAGGCGAGCAGAAGTCAGATAGAAATTTGTTCGTCCTGTCTGCTGCGCTTCCCAGGACGGGCCTTTGACTTTGCAAAGCAGATCTGGATGGAAAGAGGAGGGCTGAACCCGGGTTGGTACAGACTGTAGGAGATCCGGGTTTAAATTCGTACTTGTAGAGAACAGGAAGGTATCTGCCTAATGACTCTTACTCAGTAATAAAGGGAGTGGAGTAAGGGGAAGACATTTCGCAGTATTTATCAACTTGAAGAATAGAGAGTTTAATCTGTAAACTTTAATGGAAAGATTAGTAAAGGAGAATTAGAGAAGAGGAACTGCAACCAGCTGCAGGCACAAACACGCTGACCTCACTTTCCTTTAAAGTGTTATTCATGCTCCTTCGGCTGACAAAACTACCAGCCTGAAACTGACAACCCAAGTCAGGCCTGCCATGGATTTAACCATCCACCAAGTGATGATGTCCTTATTTACAGTGTTCGTGTTAGCGAAAGGAATTCCCCCTGTTTTCTCCTGTCAAAATCATCAACCTGCAAGAAAACATCCTCATCCAGGTCATAATTAGGGGCTGAGAACAGATGGGTGGTGCACGTTTGGCCATTAAGACTTGCTCTTGCTTTGTACAGGTATTTTTAAATAGAAACCTTCAATAATTTACTGTTTTGGGACATGTTATGGTCTTCAGGTAGGAGTTAAATGTGTGTGGATTGGGAGTTCTTGCAGGAAGTTAAACCTTTATTCAAAAGCCGGCGATTCAGCTATAGAATATTCTATGATTTAAATACCCTCAGTCTGTAACACTTGGGACCAAATGCATCATTTCTAGGATTATGTGGCAACTGCAAAGGGCCTCCACTGCTTTAATAACTTTTACACAAGAACTACATTTGTCACATTTTCTGCTCTGAAGCATCTTTTTGTCTTTGTACGTGAAGTGCTGTCAGCCCTATTGTTTACAACAAACTAAATTACTCTTTAAATACCTGTGCTACCAATTCATCAATACAGATAGTTCTCAACTTGCGGTCACAATTGAGCCCAAAATTTCTTTTGCTAAGTGAAACATTTGTTAAATTAATTTTGCCCCATTTTACAACTTTCCTTGCCACAATTGTTAAATGAATCACTGCAGTTGGTACATTAAGTAACACACTTGTTAAGTGAAACTGATTTTCCCATTGACTTCACATGATTCTGGGACACAGCAGTCATCATAAAATGAACCAGTTGCCAAGCATCTGAATTTTGATCATGTAACTGGAGTGTGAAAAATGGTCATAAGTCACTGAACTGTTGTAACTTTGAACTGTCACTAAATGAACTGTTTTAAATTGAGGATTACCTATATGCTGATGACACCCAGCTATATGTCTCAGCCTATGGTGAGTTAAGCTATTCCATGACCTCCCTCTCTCAGCGCTTGGGGACTGCTAAAAGCTAAGAGCTGGATAGGGCTGAAACTGAACCCAGAAAAGACAGAATGCTCTGAGTTGGAGTTTTTTAGTTCATGAAGAATTACCATCTCTGGTCCTGAATGGAGTGGTACTGCCCCAGACAGACCCATAATCTGGAGATTCTCCTGGACTCATGACTGCTGCTTAAGTCATGTCCAGGATGAGCTTCATGTAACTCTGGATTGTGCACCAGTGATGCCCTTTCTTGGCTCAACAATCCTTGCTCACAGTCGCTCACACCCTAATCACCCCCTGTCTTGACTATTGCAATATGCTGTACATAGGGCTGCCCTTGAAAAATATCCAGAAACTTCAAGTGGCCCATATGGCTTTGTGCAGGCCTTAATGTGCATATGTGTCATCTCTCCTGCGGGAGTTGTATTAGCTGATGATTTGCTTCCAGGTCCAGTTCAAGGTGTTGGTTCTCCCCTTTACATGGCTTCGAAACAGATTATCTGAAGGGCCATCTTTTCTCATTTACAACTACCTGACCCACAGAGCAACAAGGCAGGAAATGGTACAGGTCCCTTCTCCTAAGGAGTCCATGTAGCAGAATGAAAAAAAAAGGGCCTTTTCTGTAGCGGCCCTCTCCCTATGGAACATCAATCCATAGAGATAAGATTGGTCCCTACTTTGCACCCCTCTTTCACAAGGCTCTGAAGTTTTCCATAATAATAATAATAATAATAATAATAATAATAATAATAATAATAATTTTATTTCTATACCTCCCTTCTCCCGAAGGACTCAGGGCGGTGTACAGCCTATTAAAAACACAGAAATATTCAGACATCAATTAAAAATAATTAAAATTATTAAATAATTTCAGCCCAAATTAAAACCCAAAAATTTAAAACACCCAATTTAAAATCATTTACATTGATAGCCCAGCCTGGCGGAACAGCAGGGTCTTGAGGGCACGGCGAAATACACGGAGGTCGGAGATCTTGCGCAATTCTGGGGCAGTTCATTCCATAGGGCAGGAGCTCCCACAGAGAAGGCCCTCGCCCTGGGTGTCACCAGCCGACATACCTAGGCCAATGGTACCCTGAGGAGCCCCTGTCTGTGGCAGCGGACTGGCCAGTGGGAGGCTACTGGTGGCAGAAGTCGGTCTCAAAGGTACCCGGGTCCTAAGCCATGGAGTGCTTTAAAGGTGGTGACCAACATCTTGAATCGCACCCAGAAGACCACTGGGAGCCAGTGCAGCTCGCGCAGGAGAGCTGTCACATGGGCACAACGAGTCGCGCCCATAACCACCCGTGCGGCCGCATTCTGGACCAGTTGGAGCCTCCAAGTGTTCTTCAAGGGGAGCCCCATGTAGAGAGCATTGCAGTAGTCCAGCCGGAAGGTGACCAGGGCGTGAATGACCGTGTGCAAGGCGTCCCGGTCCAGAAAGGGCCGCAACTGACGAATCAGGCAAACCTGATAAAAAGCCCCCCTGGCCACGGCCGTCAAATTGCCAACAGGTACAAAATAGGATAAAGCCCATCAAATGGCTTTTTTGATTGAATGTTACCATCTGGGCAGTGGTGGGTTATTTATTATTATTATTATTATTATTATTATTATTATTATTATTATTATTTATTAAATTTATATCCCGCCCTTCTCCCCGAAGGGACTCAGGGTGGTGAACAGCCGAGAATTAAAATAACATACAATATAAAAGTTAAAAATAATTAAAAATAAATTAAATTAAACGGCCGCCCCAATTTAAAACCCCTAGCAATACAATTTAAAAACACCTAGCAATACAATTTAAAAACCCCTAAAACCTATTCAGGCCAGGCCAGCTTGCTGAAATAAAAACGTCTTCAGGGCCTTACGGAAAGTGCGGAGATCCGGAATCAGCTGTATTCCGGGAGGTAGCTCGTTCCAGATGGCAGGTGCTCCCACAGAGAAGGCTCTCCCCCGGGGGCCGCCAGCCGACATTGCTTGACCGATGGCACCCTGAGGAGGCCCTCTCTGTGAGAGCGTATTGGCCGGTGGCAGGTTATCGGTAGCAGCAGGCGGTCTCGTAAATACCCTGGCCCTAAGCCATGGAGCGCTTTAAAGGTGAGAACCAACACCTTGAAGCGCACCCGGAAGACCACCGGGAGCCAGTGCAGCCCGCGCAGGAGAGGTGTTATATGGGAGCGCCATGTCGCTCCCGTGATCACCCGCGTGGCCGCATTCTGGACCAGTTGGAGCCTCTGGGTGCTCCTCAAGGGGAGCCCCATGTAGAGAGCGTTAGCGTAGTCCAGGCGAGAAGTGACGAGACCATGAGTGACTGTGCATAAGGAATCCCGACTCAGAAAGGGGCACCACTGGCGTATCAGGAGAACCTGATAAAAAGCCCCCCTGGCCACGGCCGTCATATGCTCTTCTAAAGACAGCCGTGTGTCCAGGAGGACGCCCAAGTTGCGAGCCCCCTCTGTGGGGGTCAATGACTCGCCCCCAATAGCCATTACTTTTTATTGTTTCTTATATTAGGATTTTATCTATGTAAGCCACACAGAGTTACTTAAAATAAGGCAGCCATTTACTTTTAAAAAAAATAAATGTTTACTTTGTGAGGGACCTCTGATAAAGCTTTTTGAAATAGATGATGTTTGTTGGATAACTGCTTCAGTTTGGGAATGAGTGACTGGAATACCATGCCAACTACCAGACTTGCATAAATGCTGACTTCACTTTTTTAATGAAATAGACAGTGGACTGTAATGGTGTGTGCAACAAACAGTTAGTTCATTCTGTATCTTCCCCTTGCTCCAGAATAGTAGTTCTCAAAGGATGGTCTGGGGATTCCTGAGAGTTCCTGAGGGAGTTTCAGGAGGCTTCTAAAGTCAAATATTTTATATTTCTCTGTTTTTATTTCTAATACAATACCTATTAGTAGATAAATCCTTTATAAATTATAGCTCTTTGGGTCCTGGGCCATTATTAGGAAGGTAAATCATATATGAACTGAAAATAAATGAACTGAACTGAAAGTAAATCATAAGTGATTTAGACAAGATGATAGAAAGAGAAAATTATCGAATTTGCAGATAACACCAAGCTAGTAGGAATAGCGAACACTCCAGAGTATAGGCTCAAGATACAGAAGGATCTCAACAAACTTTGAACGCTATATAACAAAATGAAATTCAATGGTGACAAAAATAAAGTTCTACATTTAGGCAACCCACCCACCCCCAAATGTTCAGATATAGGATAGGTGGTACTTGGCTCAATAATAATAAATATGAGTCGAATCTTGGAATCCTAGTGGACAATTGCTTAAATATGAGCCAGAAGTGTGCTGGAACTGACAAAAAAGCCAACGCAGTCCTAGACTGCATTAACAGGGAAAGAATCAGTGGTGGTATTCAGCTGGTTCTATCCGGTTCGAGTGAACCGGTAACAGCGGCTACAGGTTGCTCCGCCCACCCACCTGGATGTAATGATGTTCCA